GGTTTGACCCCACGTGTCAGCAGCTGTTAGTGTTAAGAATAGATTTCGGATTAAAAATAAATCATTTATGAACAGTACCTTTTTGCAATTTCTCGGATTAATTCAAATTTGAATCTTTAAACTAGCATAACTCTCTCATTTTAACTCGGATTTGAGTGAAACTTGAACCTAAATTTATCTAAATTCATAAGCTTTCCAATGGTATATAATTCACTATTTGATAAAATACATTTATTAAATAATTAATACTAAGATAATGCATAATAGTTAAAAATGTGCTAATAGATAAAATTGATATGGTACTATAAAGTAGATGTCAAATAATTGTCTTTAACACGCTTTTTCACTGTAAAACCTATGTAAACTAATTAGGAGCATTGTTTCAAATTAATTAAAGCATAGGAAATACTAGTGCCATTTATTAATATATGTCGATATATAATTATACTCCTGACGTCCAAATTGTATAAATAATATTTAGCCTTGTACTTTGTGACTAAAAGTTGAACACACGTAGATGAGTCTTTAACTTGTTTATGAGAGATAATAACAGAGCTAGTGTGACTAAAATCACCTGCATGAAATTAATTAACAGTATTCCCTATACAGTAGTATATGTTTAGGTTGCAAATCGACCCTTAAGTTGTATAGACGGTAATTCACTCATAAATCCACTTAAAATCACATGTACTATATAGCCTATAGTAAATAGCAACTATTCAGTAAATAATTCAATATTAAGATATTGTGCATATACTGTACAACCCATTATAGCTATACGGTGTAGTATTAAATTGCTAGATTGCATGTATTAAAATTTAAGAGAATATATGATGAACATGTATGGTGGATAAATACTAATTATAGACCTTGACCTAATATAATCTAAGTTCAATTGTAAATTAGGATTATTCATTGTAAAATTAAGTGATGGGATAATTTGTAACTAAATATTATTAGCCTCACAAGTGTGACATATAGAGCATGGATAATTACTAACCTTTCATAATTTATTATGACAAGTAAAATATCTTCATAATTAAAGTAAAGCCTTCATCAATAAAATAATACTACAAATGATTCACTATAATTATTTGATTGATCCTAAATCCATCCGACAACAGAACCTCTAGTATATAACCGTCCTAATTAGATAGATGCATACATAGCCATAATCCTTCCATAGCCATTAGCTAGACTAAACCCCATATTAGCCAGATGTGTATCTCATTTATACTACGATGGCTAGCTCCCAATAAACCACCATGACAACAGAAAGATTAAGAAACTTTATCCCTTAGCATGATTGGAATCCCCTAGCAAGCAATAATAGCATGAGCAACCCTAGGTACGACCCTAACAAGTACATTTTGTTGTGCATATTTGATTGTTGTTTGAATATTGGTTTTTCTTGCGTATTATAGACTTTGTGTATCGGTTAGTCATGAGGCAACGTCTGCAACTTCCAGGAGGTGAAGGTTGATCAAGATTATATCGAGAATAAGGACTATCCTAAGCAGACAAGTCATCACTATTTCTTGAACATATTGATCCCAATTGCAAAATTATTTTGTTTATAAATAAAATTGCATGCAATGATGAACATCCTATTTGTGAGTATGCCATACCTTGATTATTGTTTACCCTTATTCCCTTGTAACCATGATTACGTATGAGTTCCTAGTCAACTATGACAAATGCTTAGAAATGTTATTCTAGAATCATACATACTCATATTTATCAAATGCTATATGCTTGGGCAATTACCTTTGGGAAGGTAATTGAGATGCGGCATGTGGAGACATGAGCGCCACATTGCCATGATGTTGATGACATGATTTGTGAAAGGAGAAATAAAATTAAACAACTATTTTCGACTGGGGCGGACGGAGGATTTGGGTGGTGTCTGGAAAATGCTAGTGCCGTCCCCGGTCAATTAAGGACCGAGCCATGAAGTTAAGCATGAAACGACCCCCGTACAACCGCACTTCTCGTATGGGTATAGACCTAGCGGAGTAGATAGCTGAGCGGAGGCAGTATCCATGCATAGTGGTTTCTTGATGTGTGAGGCAGGGGCTCTACGGTGGGGCAGCCATTGGTAGAACCGCGAGGCGGGTGTCTACAGTGGTGTCGCCATCGGTAGGACTGCCATGAGAGAATTTAAACATAATTATAACTTAATGCATGTGTGAGTCTTTCCTTCCCGGGTGCGCCAGAACTCCTCTCACTGCTAGAAACCATGTACGCCTAGAGTGCATGAGGATGTAAAGTTCATGGAGCGGGTACTGCCAATGCGAGGTTATCGAAAAGCTTTGCCGTGACACGTCTCATGTGTTGAGACGAGGCTCATCTGTTGGGCAGTCACGGAGTGCGGGTAAAGTGTACATCCACTGCAGTGTGAGTAAACCAAATCTATTCGAATAGCCGTGCTCGCGGTTATTGAGCACCGGGACGTGTATTACACTTGGCTAGACTCTAAATTCTTAACTTGTGTGGGATGGGTTATTGCATGATGATTTTTATGCTGATGGAGCCACTTCCTGAGAGGAGGGAAGGTGGACGTCCTCAGAAAACCATGACGACTCAATGGCGGGAAGCTATCCTTGGGATCACAATGGATGGTGGACAGAACCGTCGTTGTTTAATGTGAATACTGGTACTAAAATTTGATCATTCTATGCTAGGTCTTAGGCTTGTGAAAAGAATTACAAAACTTGCTTTGTGCAAAAGAACCATAGCCATCCTTTGAATACCCCTATCATATGCATTGTTGCTGTGGTGGCTTGCTGAGTACGGTTGGTACTCACCCTTGCTATTTATATATCTTTTAGGAGAGTGTTGAAGAGAAGCCCTTGTCGGTACGCTTGCGTATCCAACAAGATGATCGGAGTGCGGTCTTGTTCTAGGTCTCGTTCCCCAGTGGACTGCCTGTGGCATGTTAACCGGGCCCTTATATTATTTTGTCTTCCGCAGTTGTTCTCTGATAGTTGTTGGCCCACCTGGCCCTAATGTAAGTATTTAACTCTTTTAGCCTGAATTCATTCGTGATATGTTGTGATTCAACTATGTATGTGTGTACCAACTACTGATCTAGGGATTGGTACGGATAAACACAGATGATTTCCGATTTCCAAAATCGGGGGTCCACACATCAGCTGGAGGCCCGACATAGGTAGATTAAAGTATATATCGACTAACCGACCGATACATCTGATAACTGAAGCTTAGAATAATGATAACTCATTGGTTAGAACTCCGATGAACGTTGCGTAAAACCTATCGGCTTAGTAGAATTAAACTTATTAGAATCAATCTAATAGATCAGACATAAACGAGGCAGTATAAGATTGATGGATATACGAGATCAGACCAAGAGATCGAAGTGATGTAGCCTTAGCCAAAGCCGATATATCAAGGTAAACCGATGACCATAAAGACTAGTTAGAATATCGAGCGAAAATCGACAAAGTTCTAACTAAGACAATACAATTGCCGGGTGATAGGACTTACCCCTTTGTCAGAGATCGAACTTAATCGACGCAACCCTGCTCAAGGGCAAGAACCAGTCGAAACTACGACTAGGGTCGCAATGTGCTGAAATATGATCGTTTTGATCTATCAAGATTCATTATAAAGACCCAACGTGTACATATCTATACGCTCGGGTTTGTACATGAGATACAATTTCATAACAACAAATAGAATACAGCTAATCCTACATATTTCAGATATATATTAGGAAAATATGAAACTGTCTTACTGTAGTCTTCATGATCACTCCTTGAATTTGACCTTATCTGTACAAATTTTCATCTACCGATTGATTTTTTTACTTAACCGAATAAAAACAGGTACCAAATTTTAGTGTTAACAATTTCTTTCAGAACTTACATAGAGTAAGGTAAGGAATTTTATAGGATTCAATAGTGTCAATTTCTTCGATTCATTAGAAAAAAAAATCCTTTATGGACAATATCCTCTAAAATTTCTACTTTTTTCCTTCAAATAAAAGGGGCTCTACTGTGTGATGATATGGAGCTGGCACCGACAATATTCTCGGTTGGTTTTGCACTTGCTAGCCGACCCGGAGTGCTGCCAAGCAGCATTCTCACGCGTTCATGTTTCGTTAAGCTTGTCTCCAAGCTCGCATCCTCACCGATCTGAAAGCGAACGATGTGTCATTCGTTTGTGACCGATTTTGCATCCCTCACCAAATTTTGCCACGATTGTGATTCTAACATATGGAAACAATTTTGTATTTTGTTCCAGTTCATTTGGATAGCCCGTTTAGACTTAAACTTGTGGCAGCAACTCTTTTGTCTTGTAAAATAATGAATTAATTTTTCATCTTCTTATGGAAAAGCTATTTGGCGAAGATCTATGGTCTGTATGGGTCTTATAAGCCCAAACTGATAGAGTTTTTTTTTTATCAATTTATTGTTCTAAAAATTTGTGCAAACTTATAGGCCCAAAATTTGTGTAAACTTTCAACTCCAAATTTTATAAGTTCAACTTATAGTTTGAAACATTCAACTCAAAATTTAAAACTTTGAACTTAGTCATAACTAAAACTCCCCTAAATATTTGAAACATTCAAATCAACTTTCAAAACTTTTAACTTCAATTTTAAAACTTTCAACTGAAAGTTTGAAACTTTAAACTAAAAATTTAAAACTTTCAACTTAAATTTTCAAACTCTTATATCAAAATTGAAAAGTTTAAACTCAAAATTTCAAAAGATTCTAGCATTTTTTTTGAAACTTTGAACTCAGGTTTGAAACCTTCAATTTAACTATTATAACTTTCAACTCCTAATTTAAAACTTTCAACTAAAAAATTATGGAGCTAATTAAATATAAGTCTTAGCGGCAGGGAGGCACGCTTGCGCGGGGAGATGAGGAGGTGTGCGGACCTTGCCTTCCACATGTAGCTACCCGCTACAATAGTGCTTCCCTCTCTTATGGGCCTTTTGGGCCCAAACTAATTGGTTTATCAGGGAATAAAAAATGGTCCGAATTCTATCGATCGGTAAAAATGACCCAAAAATGCCGCTTTCATGTCTTCTTACAATTACATCGTGTTAACCACATTTCCTCTTTGTACACATTGCACACACTCCTCTTCTCCAGGGTACACATATATACATGCATTTATACTTGTAAATGCATTTTGTACTCTTTCTTTCATGGGAGTACGTGAGATTGTGAGAAAAAAGAGGAAGGCATTGCTAATGATCACTGCTGCTGCACCTTGTCGTTGTCATGGATGTGCCGCCGGTGTTGTCACGATAACTTAATATCCTTCAAATTGGGGCGGCGGCGGTGATGCATAGGAGTGACTTAAGATCGGCGGTAGAATGATTAGCTCCTCAGGGGCTGGAGGAGGCAACGATGGTGCCGGTGGCGGAGGCGATGGGACGACTGGTGGCGGTGGGGATAAGACGGGTGGTGGTGGGGAATGTACTGGTGGAGGCGGTGAGATCATTGGAGAAGGAGGTGGGGGTGAATGTACTGGTGGAGGTGGAGAACTTACAGGCGCCGGTGGGGGAGGAGACTTTACAGGAGGAGGCGGTGAGCTTACTGGTGCAGGTGGTGGTGGGGATTCCATAGGTGGAGGTGGAGAACTGACCGGCGCAGGAGGTGGAGGAGATTTTACTGGTGGTGGTGGAGAGCTCACTGGTGCCGGGGGCGGTGGGAATTTTACTGGTGGCGGTGGAGAGATCACCGGCGCGGGTGGTGGTGGGGATTTTATCAGTGGGGGTGGAGAGCTCACCGGTGCGGGCGGTGGTGGGGATTTTAATGGTGGAGGAGGAGAGTGGACTGGTGCTGGGGGTGGAGGAGGTTTTACTGGTGGAGGTGGAGAGTGGACTGGTGCTGGGGGTGGAGGAGGTTTTACCGGTGGCGGTGGAGAGTGGACTGGTGCAGGTGGTGGAGGGGATTTTACCGGTGGCGGTGGAGAGCTCACAGGTGCTGGGGGTGGAGGGGATCTTACTAGTGGAGGAGGAGAGTAGACTGGTGCGGGGGGTGGAGGGGATTTTACTGGTGGCGGTGGAGAGTGGATTGGTGCGGGGGGTGGAGGGGATTTTACCGGTGGCGGTGGAGAGCTCACGGGTGCTGGCGGTGGAGGGGATTTGACTGGTGGGGGTGGAGAGCTCACCGGTGCAGGCGGTGGTGGGGATTTTAACGGTGGGGGAGGGGAGCTCACCGGTGCTGGCGGTGGAGAGCTCACTGGTGCCGGTGGTGGTGGGGATTTCACTGGTGGAGGAGGATAGCTCACTGGTACCGGTGGCAGCGGGAATTTGACCGGTGGAGGTGAGCTCTTAGGAGGCTCTATGTATGGTGATGGTGACGGTGTCTCCTCCTTTGGGCTGATCAACGGCGGAGGCGCCAGAGTGGGCGGCGTGGGTGTAATCTTCTTCGGAGCCGGCTTCGACGACGACGGCAGCGCCGAGCAGGTGTTCGTCCGGCAGTCGATGGGGCGCTTGAGCAGGGGCGCGCACTCGAGCGACGTCTTCTGCTCCGGTCGCCCGCCGCCGAGGCAGTTGCCCTTGTCGTCGAGCTCGACCATGGCGGTCTCCGCCGGGACGCACGCTGGCGGCTCCACGCTGAAGTAGTTGTACGCGAAGCTGAAGTTGGCGAGCGACGGGAGCTTGCAGACGGGCTCCGGCACGGCGCCGGCGAGCAGGTTCCTCGACACGTCGAGCTGCTCGAGCTTGCCCATCTTGGCGAGCTCCTCCGGCAGCAAGCCGACGAGCATGTTCCCGCCGACGTCCACCACCTCGGCGTCGGCGAGCTCGCCGATCTCCGGCGGGATGCACCCGTCAAGGCGGTTGTTGAGGAGCAGGAGCTCGTTGAGCGTCCCCTTCATCCGCCCGACGCTGCGCGGGATGCAGCCGACGAAGTGGTTGTTGGCGAGCACCACCACCGTCGCCGTCGAGCCGCCGATGCTGTCCGGGATGCGTCCGACGAAGCGGTTGCTGTTGAGGAAGATGGCGTCGAGGCCCTTGTCGAACAGCTGCGGCGGCAGCTCGCCCTCGAAGTCGTTGAACCTGATGTCGAGGTACTTGAGCACGGCCATGTCGAGCACCACCTCCGGGAACCCGCCGACGAGGCGGTTGTTGCTGACGTCGAGCTCGTGCAGCAGCGCCAGCCGCGAGAAGCTCTTGGGGATGACGCCGCAGAAGCGGTTGGAGTTGACGTGGAACAGCGCGAGGTCGGTCATGAGGCCGAGCTCGGCGGGGAGGTACCCGGCGATGTCGCCGCCGTTGAGGTCGACGCCGGCGACGACGGTGACGGCCGGGTCGTCGAGCGCCGCCGCGCACGTGATGCCGAAGTAGGAGCAGACATCGGCGCCGACCCAGCCGCCGGTGAAGTTCTTGGGGTCGGAGTAGATCGCCTGCCGGAGCGCCTGCAGGCCGACGTAGGCGCGGCGGAGGCGGTCGTTGGCGAAGGTGACGTCGACGTGGATGTCGAACTCGAAGTCGTCGGGGAGCTCGCCGTTGCCGCCGCCCTCCTTGAGGGACAGCAGCTGCCGCCCCGCGATGTACGACGCCTCGGCGTCGGAGAGCGCCGCGGCGGTGACCACGGTCACCGCGAGCAGGGCGACGGCGGCGGCGGCCACGGCGAGGCGGCGCGCGGCGGCGGCGGCGGCCTCCATGGCTGGAGGTGGGGGAGGAGAGGGCCGGGGGGTGGGGGAGGAGGCACGAGGTGGGCCACCACCGGCGACGGTGCCTGCCTGCCTATATGGAGGGTGGTGAGAGAGGGGAGATATAGGGCAGCGGCGGTGGCCATGGCCGTGCGGCGGCGCGCGTGTTCCGGTGGTTTGGCGCGCTATTTTTGGCGGGAATCGAGTTGGAGAAGATGCATGGGACCCACGTTTTGGACATGGTTGAGAGAAATGCAGTTTTCTGTTTAGGTTTATTGATATTTCGGTTTTTGCTAAAAAAAAACTGGCGATGGATTTTTGTTGGAGAAACTTTCGATTTTCTGGCCGTCAAGATGCGCTTTTTGTTTAGTTACATGCAATGGAACTACGGCATAATTATACTGTAGTTGTATTAGAAAGTTTTTCACTCATAAAGCTTGAGGAAGTTTTTTAGAATTTTTTTTTGTTTGTTTGAGGTGTCATTAACTCATGATGATTGAAGGAATGAGTCATGAGATGGTAATTTTGGGCTTAGTAGTTTTTTTTTAGTGAATTTATTTTCCAATTTTGGAGAGGAGGAAGAAGGTTGTGAATTGGTATTGTATTGTTGTTTAAGCATGAATGCTTGGATGAATGCTGTATTTGCCAAGTTAGTTAAATTTCACATAATCTAATCCATTTTGCAAATGCATCATTGAGAAAACTTTGAAATGCTAATTAATAAAAGGCAGATGGACAGCACATAGAGCTAGGTAGAGCATTATGATTTTCCATCCACCGGTTTCAAATCCTATAGAAAACAGTACAACTAACACTGTATAAATTTAGATGACGCCTCCTCGTGCTCTCTCAAACACAACACAACACATGTTCTCAAATCTATCGTCTTTGACAACTTACGATGTAGGAGTGATAGAAACTAGGAATAGAAAAACAAGCCTTCTCGACCACCCTGCCTTTATTAAGATAATAATGCTTACAAGGTAGTCTCTCCGTTCCATATTATAAGAAGTTAGCCTCTTTATCCCGTACCTAGATTCACTAATATCCATATCAATTTGGACACATATATGAATCATAATACGTAGATCCATGCATGAATCTATTCAAAATCCAAAACGTCTTATAATATGAAACAAAGAAAATACCAAGTTTGATCTCAAGGGTTGTTGTTATGTTTTTCCATCCTGAATCTGTGCGATGTCACAATCTTATAGGTAGGGATTAAAATTTCAGTTCGAAATTTCCAAAATTTCGGAAATTTTAGTAATAACTACCTTGCCCAAACTTTTCAGATTTTCCCAAGTATTATTTGTGAATTTGATCAAATTTATTCAAATTTAGTCAAAATTTGAAATAATTTTGTTCAAAAAGGTTCAAAAAAACTGAAATTTGTGAATTTTCAGTGACCACCAAAATCATCGAAATTTTGACCTAAACCGAAAGTTTTAGTGGTGCTGCTCAAACATGTTCATCATCAATCAGAATCCAGTTACCATGTATGTGGCTTGAAATCTCCTAAATTTTACCTGAATGGCCTAAATTTTTCGAGCATACAGCTGCAGTGTAAGTTACATTTCGTTGGTGGTTTGGGCCAAAACACCAATTAGTAATGGAAGTCCCATTTTGATTATACAATACCATGTCTAAATCACCATGTTCTTCAGAATTGGTGTTTCTTATTGCCAAACTTGTTCTAGTGCAAATCCACAACACTTCAGAGTCTGTAACTGGCTTAATTTGGAGGTAAATCGAAGCAGTTTTCAAGGCACCTCCGTATTGCTGTTTTCACCTTTATTGAGGTGTCATTAGCTCATGAATGATCGAATGAATTATGATATGCCAAATTTGGCCTTAATATTTTTATGAGTGATTTTTTTTACAATTTTTTTTTGGAGAGGAAGAAGGTTTTGAATTGGTGTTATTTTTGCATAGGTGCATGCTGTATTTGTCAGGTTATTAGTTAAGTATCACACAATCTAATCCATTTGCAAATTCATCACCGAGGAAACTGTGAACAATCAATAATAGGCTTATGGGAAGTACATAGAGCTAGGTAGAACATTATGATTTCCCATCCACCAGGTTCAAATCCTAAAGAAAAAAAAGTTGCAACACTTGTGGAGTATAAAGATGGTGCATCCTCATGATCTGTCAAACTCAACACAATGGATATTCTCAAATTCATCACCATCGATGATGCATGGTATAGGCTTGGTAGGCATCAAGAATACCAAAGCTTAGTCTACTCTACCAATGTGCCTTTATTTTCATAGGAATATGACAACTTAGTCTCACCATGCGATTGTTTACAAGGGACATGGTTTAATCTAAAAGCCGCTGAGTTATTTTTCTATCCTGAAGCCATGTAGGTCACTCCCTTACAGGAAGAATATGCCATTTAGGACAGAAAGTTTCAAATATGTTCGCATAACCTTCTCCCTTACAGGAAGAATATGCCATTTAGGACAGAAAGTTTCAAAGATGTTTGCACAACCTTCTGATGATTAACTAGATTCAATACTAAGGTGAAAAGCCTCTTGACAAGATGGCTATGTTGAGGATAAGTAGCAGTAGTTTAGCTCCTTTTGAAAAATGTGGATGTTATGTCAGGCTCTTCCCTTCTTTACAGAAAAAGGTACCTTTGGAGTATACAGTGATTGCACTTTCGATTTCGGTGATAATTTTGCTAGGTCCAAAATTTACAAATTTTTGTGATTTTTGGCACTTTTTGAACCAAAATTATTCAAAATTTTAACAAATTTTGACTGAATTTTTATAAATTTTGACCAAATTCAATAAAAATTTAAGAAAATCCAAAAAATTCTGTCGAGCTAATAACTTGCCGGGAGAAGGGTCCAAAATTTTGAACCAAAATTGCAATCACTGGAGCGTACTGATTATGAATTAAGTGCTAACAGTACTAGTAACTGAGATCCTAATTAAGTTTCACAAACAAAACCATTTGCAAGCTCATAATCGAGAAAATTAAATACTAGCTTCAAAAAACTAAGATGTATAATACATATATTACTAGGTACTAGCATTAAATTCCATGACGTGCAAAAGTATATGCATAAGTTGTAATCTACTTCCTCCGTTTCATAATGTAAGACTTTCTAACATTACCTAAATTCATCTAGATGTTAATAAATCTAGACATATGTATGTGTTTAGATTTATTAACATCTACATATATATATGAGCAATGCTAGAAAGTCTTACATTGTGAAACGGAGAAAGTATATCTCTTCACGGCCAGTATATAACAACGGAAATCAGCGGGATGATAACGTTATACAAGAGTACTATAAAGGTGAAGGCTGAACTGCGTTTTCTGGCCGTTGCATGGGTCCCCCACGTTTTGGCCATGGCTCATGGCCGAGAGGCATGCAGCTCTCTGTTCAGGTTTTTTCATTTGGAGGTGTCATTAACTAGTGATGATTGAAGGAATGAATCATGAGATGTTAATTTTGGGCTTCCTAGTACTCCCTTCATCCCATAATATAAGGGATTTTGGAGGGAAGTGATACTTCCTAGGACTGGAAGTAGTTGTTTGAGTGATTTTATTTTTCAATTCTGGAGAGTAGGAGGAAGTTTGTGAATTGGTGTTGTTTTGCATGGATGCTGAATGCATGCTGTACTTGCCATTAAGATCCATGCTGTATTAAATCACATGATGTAATCCATTTTGAAAATGCATGCATCATTAAGAAAACAATGAAAGACTAATTAATAAACGGTAGATTGGATATTACATAGAGCTAGGTAAAGCATTATGATTTCCCATCTACCGGGTTCAAATCCTAGAAAAAAAAAGTACAACAATTGTGCAATATAAAGATGATGCCTCCTCATGTTCTCTCAAAAGCAACACATCAAATGTTCTCAAATTTATGGTCTGTTGTCTCAAAGGCAACACAACAAATATTCTCAAATTTATCATCCTTGACAATTTAAGATGTAGGAGTGATAGGCACCAGGAATACATAAGCCAAGCCTAGTCGACCACCCTGCTTTTACTTGGATAATAATGTTTAGAAGGTACCAGGTTTGATCCCAAGGGCTGCTGTGCTGTTTTTCCATCCGGAAGCTGTGCGATGTCAGAACCATATAGGCAGAGATCCGTGAATTAGGATGTGAAGTTAAAGTGGTTCTGCTCAAATATTTTTAACATCAACCAGAATACAGTTACCATGTATGCACCTCGAAATGTCCTAGAATTTTACCTAAACGGCCTAAAATTTTACGAGACTTACAGGTGCAATGTGAGTTACATGCATATTGGTTGTTTGAACCAAGACACCAAACGATAACATCCCAATTTTGATTGTACAATAATACTATGTCTAAATCATCATGTGTACTTCAGAATTGGGGTCTCTTACCAAACTTGTTTGTTCTAGTGCAAATCCACAATATCTTCAGAGTCCAATACTCACTAGTTAATGTCCGTTACAGATGAGTATAATCCAAAAATAAATAAATTTTATTTTTTGGCTAGCCCTCACTCATGTGCACCCACGCATTAACTATAGCCTAAGTCACTCATGTACACCCACGCGGGAAGTTCAAACTTCCCGGGATAGGTGCATGTACACCCACGCGGGAAGTTCAAACTTCCCGGTCAGTCACCCATCCCGAAATTGCTCCAAACCAAGCACGCTTAACGAGATTGGCTTCCGGAAAAGTAGTTGTAACATGTTGGTATGAGTATTCTATTAATCCTATTAAATCCTAAACCAGGATGTCAAATTGGGGTTATTAAATGATTTCAAATGGAAAAGTCACCAAAACCAAAGTTGTAGAACTCATCGAGGTGCAAAATTTTTATTTTGGTCATTTCTCCATATGATTCTATTTAAACAATTTGAAATTTGAAATTCAAAGTTTGAAAGTTCAAATAGAATTTTAGATCAGTGAACGACTTCAACTGAAAAAGTTATCAACAACAAAGTTGTATAACTCATCAAAATCTATAACTTTTATTTTTTGTCATTTTACTATATAACATTTTTTGAACCGTTTGAATTTGAATTTGAAAATATGACAACTTCAAACAATATTTTCAGAT